GCGAATCGTGATTGGCCAATTCTGGCTGATCTGATTGGCTGACAACGGGCCGTCTCTGATTGGATGCTTTTAGAGCGGTTAGTTCAATTTCATTGGTTGTTGTGACAGCAGCCAGCTCTATAAAAGAGCTGCTGCTGCACTAATTGTTGCTCTGTTCTGAAGTCACTATTAAAGAGTTGAACTGAGTCACTATCGATGCCTCGTCTCCGTTATTACGCCCACTCCTTCCAGACTTAACACTGGCGACGAGGATGGGATGTGGAGGCGATAGAGCCAACTGAGCACTCACTGAGCATCAAACAGAGCACGTGGCTAAGAGAGCGCCAACAACGGCAAGATGGCCAGCGGCGCCATACCACCCGCTCCATTTGACCCGGCTAATGAAGACTGGGACTCGTATATAGACAGGTTCCAGATGTTCCTGGAGACCAACAACCTGAAAGACGCTGCGCCTGGCAAGAAACGAGCGATCTTCCTGACCCATTGTGGGCCTGCTGTTTTTAAAATGGCTAAGGCACTCGCTAAACCAGCAGAAGTTAAAACAATGGATTGGGATACCCTCGCACCAATCCTCCGAGCCCATTATGCACCCGCGGTACCAATGCTTATCCGAAGGCACAAATTTTACCAGAGGGACCAATGGAAAAACGAGAGCGTTGGGGACTTCATCGCGGACCTCCGGAACTTGGGAGGCCTCTGTGGTTTCACAAACCTCGAGGAAGCCATGAGAGACCGCATAGTTCTGGGATTAGATGACCACACAGCACAGAGCAAGACCATGGCTAAAGGGGACATCGATCTCGCAGATGTCATCGCCGACGCTACTGCAGCAGAAGCAACCAGGAAGTTGGCCGCTCGAATGCGCCGCACCAACGCACCGCTCCGCCAACTCGCCAATGATACTACGCCTTTTTCCGAGAGGCACTCAACAACGGCTCACCACGAAGACCTCGAATCCTCATCTGATAGTGAGGAAGAAGAGGTCAACCGACTCAGGTCAGAGCGCGACCAGCGAGACCAGAAGAGCCAGAAACCTGCACGTCAATGCGCCGGTTGCGGGGCCAATCACCCGCGATCAGACTGCAAATTCCTCGACGCACTCTGCCGTTCCTGTGGAAAGAGGGGCCACATCGCAAAGGTTTGCAGAAGCAAGCGAGCGTCAAGCCCAATCCGAAGAACAACGGGCAGCCCACCTGTAAATCGGGACCATCTGAATCACCAATGGAACCACTATCACTACAGAAATCGAGCGCCTGCTACGTCAGCTAGGCGAGAAGAGGCGCATCAAACCATTACCATTGGTCACGCATCGCTGGATGCAAGAAAAATCTGAGTGAAGGTCGCCATTGAGAATCGTCCATGCGTAATGGAAGTAGACTCGGGATCGTCCCTATCGATGGTCTCGTGGAAAACCTTCAAACAACTGATCCCTGACATCCGTCACCAGGATCTCAGCACCCAAAAAATTATATTAAGGGACTACCAGGGAAACAGGATTCCCGTTGCCGGTTCCCGAAACGTCCAGGTGTCCTTCAAGGACCACACCACTACTCTGCCTATTACCATCGTCGATCGAGACCGACCCAGCTTGTTGGGGTTACAGTGGTTCGCCCCACTGGGAATTGAACTAGCTGGCATTCACCAGACCGGGAACAGCGACTGGGAAGCGGCCCTCGTCCAGGAGTTCCAGGACATGTTCACCGAGAAGCTAGGCAAGTACAAGGGATCCCCCATATCGTTTAGCCTCAACCCCGATATCGCACCCATCCGCCTTAAGCCGCGTCGAGTGCCCTTCGCACTCAAGCCAAAGATTGACGAACAATTGGACAAATTAATAGCTCAGGGGGTATTAGACCCGATCGATCACGCCCGTTGGGAAACCCCGATTGTAACTCCCATAAAACCTGATGGATCGATAAGAATTTGTGGGGGTTACCGGGCCACCCTAAATCACGCGCTTCAGCAGAGCGCTTACCCGGTACCTGTGGTCCGGTAATCCCCACAGGCCTACCTGTAATATATTTGAATGCCCAGAGGGGGACATAATCAGTAGAGGTTAGAGCATAAATGACCCTGGGTTGCTCCATGATTTGTGATGGCAAGATTGCAGTGAAGAGCCATAGCAATGGAAGCCATATCCTTTCAATATTTCAGACAGATCAAAGACATTTCAATAGAGCAGGTGTGGGTGATATTTGGAACAGTGATTTTGGTAATGCAGTTTGGAGAACTGGGGACTCTTGCCTCAGTAAAATCTGGGCTGTGTTTGAGGGAAGCAGCAGATCTTTGCTCACCACAAAAGTTTTCCTTGGCATAGAAGAACTTCTTGGCCACAACTTTCCTAAGTATCTAGTGACCTGTATCCTAGGAAGCTGGGGAACAAGCCAGTTTTCCCACAACAGTCTTGAACAAAAACATTGAAGTCATCCAGACTCTGCAGGAGGTAATTCACCAATGTTCAGTGTGGGGAAAATCCTCAAGAAATACTGTTGAATCTCTTAAGCAATAATAATAGGCCTTTCCACATATTTTTCATGGTTGGCCATCTTAATTCAATGGCAGAGGGTCCTCATAAAATATTCCCTCATTACATTTTATTATTGCTATTAAAAATGTACATGTGTATGTCTTTCTCACCAAATCCTGGTTGTAACCTGCCATTTAAAAAGAATAGCAAAAATATATAGTGATTTAAGGGGATAACAAATGGATTAAATTTAATTGAACATATAAATAAATTGGGGGTGTAGGATTTTGTATGATTTATGAGCAGATACATTCCTTCTGTTTAAATTACTGGTTCACCCTTTCCTAAATTAAGATAACTGGAATGATTTAGCCAGGGGTGGGCTTCAGAAAATTTGGCAAAGGGTTCTCTGCCCATTTGCTGGGTAGGCGTGGCCATGATGGGTGTGGCCTAGGCCTCCTTCACCATGGCGAGGGTGGCATTTGCCTTTTCTGGACTCCGGTGGCTCTCTGGAAGCTGGAAACAAGTCCATTTCCAATCTTCCCAAACTTCTGGGAAGCCCATTTTTCACCCACCCAGAGCCTCCACATGCGCCCTGCACTTATCTGCATCTAAAATGGGCCGTGTGGGGACTCCTGGGAGGGGCGAGGCAGGGCGAGCCAGGAGTGGGATTTGGGGGTTCTCCGAACTGAACAGAATCTAAACTAGGGGCTCTCCTGAATCCCTGCAAACCCCCAGCAGCCCACTCCTGGATTTAGCAAATTAAAAATATTGTAACATCTTAAAAATATAATTTCCCCCCAACTATTTGTTAGAGTTTTTTATGTGCTGGATTAAACTTAACCAAACATAAATTGGCCTATTTTCTAAAGTTCAATGCATTTATGAAAAGAGAACAAATAACAAACACTAAGATGAGCATTATTGTTGGCTTCACTGATACTTTATTTAATCCATTTCTCAGTTGTCTTTCATTATGATCAAAATTAGTTCACAACGCAATGGTGGAACAGTTTATTGAAGCAAAGAATCATTTATAAAAAATACTTTAAAAGAAAAGAGGTTAAGTTATCATCATGCTTTAATTCACATGGCTTGTGGATCAGTCCCATGAAACTTGATGGAATTTCAAGAGCAGCCACCTCTTCTGCCAAAATTTGTTTCAAGCAAGATTTTCCTCTCATTTTGTTTATTTCTGATGTATTAGAATGTTTGTGTAGATTTCAGTTTTACAGGAACTTTCACAAGCCATTTTATAAGTTAACACTGATTAATGGAAGCTAGAAAGCCATTTTACTGTAGCATTCTTGATCACCCAAAAATGCATTTTGAAAAATAATTATGTGAGGTTCTATATAGGAATATGCCATGCACTATGTTTTTTTCACAAAGATGTTCAGTTTTTAATTGTATATTTATTGCAGTCCATGACCAGAAAACAAAAAGCAATAGAAAAAATTATTACCCAGTTCATAATCAATTATAGCTGTGCCAGAAAGATGGCAAATTTACAACACACATTAAAAAACTCTTGAGCCATACAATTTTTTCCTGTTGTAGGTAGTTAGCATCTAACCCGCTCCTAGAAAATTGAAATATCCTAGGAAATATTAAAAAGGCAGAATATTTCCCCTAAAAATAGTAGAAACTCAAGAGTAGAAACAGAAGCAGAAGCTCACCCCCACCTTTGTTAATGAGTGGGCCATTAAGGCCTGGGCCAGAATACTTTACATAACAAAGATCTCCAGGTACCAATTGCTCAAAAGCCCTTTCAGTGCATCATCATCCAGCAAGGCTCAACCACGCCTGGAACTCAGGACAGCCTACAGAGTTGCCCCTGCATGGCCCCATGGGAGTCTGACAACCAATCAGAATACAAGCTTCAATTCAAATCCCAACAAAGGTTATAAAACCCAGGCACTCTCAGCATATCAGTCCTTCCTTCTCTTTTCCTTCACCTTGGAGCATGTGATCATCCTTCTTTGGAGCTTCAAGCCATGTGGTCCTGCTGTCCACCATTAAACCATCTTTCCTAACAGCCTCCATGTTTCCATTGTCCTTTTCCCTACTTGGAACTGAACCCAGAAGGATATTTCTTCCAACACTGTCTTATCCCCTTTTTTTGAGAGTTGCCCTCAGTTATGTTTTTGTCCTAGTTCTGCCCATTTTATTTTAATGTATCCATCAACATAACATCAAATGATATGTTGGTCTGATAGAAATTTTCTATTGAAATTGAAAACAAGGTTATTGTCCCAACTGGTGACAGCTGCCTGAATCAAAAGTAAAACTTTTTTTCCAAGCAGAATTTTCATAGGCATTGAAAGTAAGAATGTTACAAAATTGCACCACGTAAACTCTTATCTTTAGAATCAAAATAAATCTTTGTACATTAGAACTTCTGATTGTTATTTTTCATAGCTTCATTGTGGTATGGCAAGGTTGATTTCTCAGATGGGGAGGGAAAGGGGATCTTCACTCTGATTTTAGGTAAGTAGTCACTTAAATTTGTATCAATTTGAGAAACAGCCTTCACAGTTGCCCATTGCTTTGTTGCTGTTACTGTAAATGGCTCTGGAGGAAAAACCAAAAGATTGCTTTGCCATCTTCTCTTCAGCTGCTGGCAGTGATATTCCATGTCTTTTTCCAATATACAAATTACATATGGGGGTGGAAATGTTCATGTTCTTCTCCATACTCTTAACTCATTGCTTTATTTCTTCCTATGAATTGCCCAGTCCTGCATTCTGATTTTATATGATGTGAATTTAGTCCTTTTTCATTCTATAACCTTCAAGCTCTGTAGATTTGTTTGAAAGGTAATGTTTTTCCCCTGTGAAAAGAGCTTTCCTTTGGTATTAATTTGCTTAATGACTCATTTGGCATGTTTACATGTCTGACAATGTTTCTAGGTTTCTTGTATAAAGGTGGCAAAGTATTAATAGGAGGTGTGAAATGAAATGATGGCATTCCCTTTGGAGGCAATCTGTTACTTGTCAGTTCTGCTGGGTAGTTTGAAGTTGATAAGTAATAGTTTTGCAAACTTGGTGCAGCACTTGAAGTTCCATAAATTGGCTGAGACCAGGTGTTAACAAAGGGCAATTTCATTCCTGTTATACTGCGAATTTGTGTTGCATTTTTTTTATCAGCCAGGGTTCTTATAGGCAAAATTGGGTGGTAGAATCTTGCTTGTGGCATAGAACTCACAAAATTATAGAGGAGGGAATGCCAAAGTCCACCACAGAGGGGATTCAGTGTCACCTGAGGCCACATGCTGGCAAGACTCCGCAAGGCTTCACAATTCCAGGTGGACATGGGGAAATCCTCCTCTGTGTGATACAGCTGTGAGAAATAAATGCAGAGTGTGATGTCTTGATGCTTCATTAAAAAACTGTAAATTTTGCTTATGCACCCATGCTCTGCCTCATTACAAGGAGAATAATTTGAATAAAGAAATATATACGCAATGTTCCCCCAATTGTGTACAAGTGAGTCTAGATAACCATCCATTTCAAATAGCATTGCTTCTGGATGGATGTTGTATTCTTCACAGTTTGTAACTTGGCCCTTTTGAATTAATTTACCTGATACATGTCTCAACTCATAAAAGAGAAGGTGTTTATTTTGGTAATCCATTGGCCCATATGGGAATCCAAAAGCCTTTTGAAATTCTGTGTAAGAAACTCGTGCTACTTCCCCTGTTTGTATGTGATAAGGACATTTAGGACAATTTTGGCTCATTGTTAGCCAGTAATATGGCTTCACTATTGTACCTCTTTGTGTTAGGTATTCTTGGCAAAATGGTATTGTTTCTAAGTCCATTATGTGTGAAAACCTTGAAAGCTGACAGTCCTGAAACACAGAGAAGAAATTCCGAATAGTTATTTCCCTGTTTGTTTAGAAGTTTTGAAATTAAAATCACATCTACATTACAAATTCAAACCAACCATATATTGAACTCTATATGAGAAGAAGCTAAGAACAGTTTCTGTTTTTATATTAATGGAGGGGTTGTTAGAGAACCCTAGACTTTATGTAATTGACCATTTCCATGGAAGCAAAGAAATATAAATTACTATATTTTGTATTTTAACATATATCCTGGAGCTGCGAGGCATTTCACATTTGTTTATAAAACATTGGTTTGGACCATGTGCCAAGAGCATAGCAGCCACTCTTTAAAGTAGCTGTGTACTTGTGCAGCATAGTACACCTGTTCCAATATATCTATCCCAATAAAACTCTAAAAACTTCACCTTGAATTTTTTCAGCCTCTCCTGGCTATAATGTTATTTTTTAAAATGGTTAGATTTGGGTCTGAATGTGAGACTGTTATGTCAATAGAAAGGAAGGATTTTCCCCCAATCTTTTCACCAGCTGTGTCCTCTAAGAGGCATTTGTATTCTGTGTAGTGTAGTAAAGAGTGTGGGTGTTTCTGCTCCCTCCTTGTGTTGCACCTTTGGGTATAGATGCATACTGAAAAGCACAGGATGGATTACATATTGTGGAGTCCTTCGTGCTCTCTGAGCTTGGTTTTTTGCTTGCAGATATTTCATTACCAACTAAGTTAAATCATACTGCTAGTGAGTGTGGGGTTTACTCCCTGTTTATATACAGCAGATTCCCCTAACAGTATTAGTAAGGATGCTATTTTTCTTCCTAGTGGTTCCTTGATTATGGTATTGGTTCCTGCTTGATTGTCTGGTGTTAATCCCCGCTTATCTGGATATTGACTGCTGGAGAGCATGTGTTCAAGCCTTCTTAGTTTTTTTAGCTTAGTCTTTTTAAATGGTGTATAAATGTGGTTTATTTCTATGTGACTATTGATGGCTGAAGGGACATGGTGGCTCAGTGGCTAAGACACTGAGCTTATCAATCAGAAAGGTCGGCAGTTCGGTGATTTGAATCCCTAGCACCGCGTAACAGAGTGAGCTCCCGTTATTTGTCCCAGTTTCTGCCAACCTAGCAGTTCGAAAGTATGTAAAAATGCAAGTAGAAAAATAGGGACCACTTTGGTGGGAAGGTAACAGCATTCCATGTGCCTTTGGCATTTAGACGTGCTGGTCACATGACCACGGAGATGTCTTCAGACAGTGCTGGCTCTTCAGCTTTGTAATGGAAATGAGCACACACACCCAGAGCCAGAAACGACTAGCATGTATGTGCAAGGGGAACTTTTATCTTTATCTTTACTAATGATGGCTGTCTAACTATTCTGAAATGTCAAGCTTCCAGGAATTCCCTAGTATTTTTGTATTTAGTTTGGTCTAGAACACCCACAGTTTCCCATCTGAAACTATAGTTGAATTTGTCCTTATGTTATGAGATTAAGATTTTTTTTATCATGTCTTATGACTGCTAGTTGGTCATCATGGTGGTCAAAAAACTCTGCTAGTGTTTTGCCTGTCTATCCTGCATTTTTCTCTTACAATTATTTCTACCTTCCTTCTACACCCCCAGAATCAAGGCTGTTGAAGAATCTCCTGGATCCAGAATTGAGATATCTAGGCTAGAAGAAGTCAACATCAAATTTTTGGTTGCCTTTTTCCTATCGCTGCCAGACCTACATTTTCTGCAAGTTGCATTCATTGAAACTGCATAAAATTGGCTGGTGTGTGTGTATGTGTGTTGTGTTGTGGTGAGGGGTGTCAAGACCCACAGGCTGGATCCAGCTTGGTATGTGGTTGGATCCTGCCCATGGGGCCGTCCTGGAAAATGTAAGGAGCTGGCTCGCATCGCTTAGGCCCAGTCTACTCAATACAAAGAGGAAACATTGGGCGTGCGTCGCTTTGGCCCAGTCTACCCAATACAAAGAGGAAACATACCAGCTGTTGGGGGAGTGCTGTCAAGCTGGCCATGCCCACCCAGTTGGCCACCCTCACCCAGTTGGCCATGCCCCCCCCCCCCCCGAGGTCAACCTCAGCCCTGACACGGCCCTCAATGAAATTGAGTTTGACACCCCTGGTGTGGTGGATGGTGATTTCCTCATCTAGATCACCTCACATCTCCTTTTTACTACAGTAATTACAGAAGCTCTTTCAACCTAAATAAATTTGCTGAAAAGAAACACAATAAATTATGGTGCCAATTAAGAAATACAATCTTTATCAAAAAGACATTTTGCCATTTAGGTATTCTCTGAAGAATAAGAAAGAAAGGGATTCTACTTTCAATGCCCAAAATTTTACTTTTTGTTTTGTTTTCAGCCAATTAAGGCTTTGGGATAGCATGCTGCTCTTTTAAGATACAGTGCTGCTTCTGGAATTCCTTATGCTATTTTCTCAGCAACAGTTCTGGCTCCATTAAGAGATCCCAGAGCTTCCTTATTCTCTCAAATATACAGTATATTTATTAGACTATGATAGTGGGAAAGGAACTGTGACCTCTCTGCCCCACGGGGACTTCTGTAGTAACTCACTATGTAATATATCCCATCATTTGACTGATTTCAACATCTTGATAAGTTGCATTTGTATGCTTTTCATTTGGTGGAAAAATATTGGTAACTTATAACTTTTCCTCCTAAATTGAGCAGATAAAAACTGGCAAAAACATTAAGTAGTCTCTTCTTCCACCTCTGAATCCAATTAAATGGGAAGTTACCTATGAACCTCCCCCTCCCATACATTATTGTAACTATTTGAAATATGTTTAACCCTGAAGTCACTTGAATTCTTAAAGAGCACAGAATGACAAAATGTGTATAATAAAATCAAAGCTTGCTTCCAAGAAATAAGATATGCTTTGTTGTTCAGAAACTAAGCACAGCACATATATGTAATATTGAGCTTTACTTACTGTCAAAATTTCTTGAGGCCAGAATAGCAGTAACAGTTAATCTCAGCCACAGCCTTACTTGAATCCTATTTTCAGTGTCCTGAGAAAGAGAGAGAATAACCCTTACAACTACTTATTTTAGAAGACAACTAGTTTCTAATAAATTTTCTTGTAGCTTGACAACTTACATGTGTGGTGAATAAACGTGTTGTATTGACAATTTCAAGTGCTAGGTTACCTTGATAGAAACAGCAGGCTTGTTCTTGTTTGTTGCTTGAAAGACTTGTTAGATCAGTTCCTGTGCCTGTTAGAAACTTGATCACTATTGCCAAATGTATTCAGTAACATCAGTTTACATGAAAAATCACAACTTGGTAGAGCAGGTGATGAATGGATCTAATAATGCTGTGTATGTGGATCTTATGGAACCCCATAGTTTATCAAGTGGCTCAGAGAGTTGAGGAGATATAAGAGATGCCTAGAGCGGTGATGGAGGAAGACAAAGAACAAGATTGACACCCAGCACTACCTTATGGCAATACCTGTATTGGGCTTAGCTTGTGGCAATAAAACGATGAAATAAAATTACTTTGCCTTATTATATTTCAGATAGTTTACCAGCAGCTCTGTTTTGGGTAAGCATGTTCCATCCTAGTTAAGAAGGAGCAAGGATGCCCTTGGCAGGATTGCTGTGAGAAATATTCCTGGCATCTATCAGATGAAGCCACTTGACTTTGCTTAGACATAGAATCTGGCTGGGGAGAGATGATGGATATGCATCTGAACCTTGTTATCTGGGAGGAGTTAGAGCCAGTTGCTCTTGAGAAAGTGGTCCTTAAGGCTGTGAACTTGGCCACCTATGTTCTGGATCGATGCCAATCTTGGCTGGGAGTGGGTTGGGTTCAAGCTGCAATTAATGCCTCTTCAGTAGAAGGGGTAGTACTAACTGCCCTGAAGGAAGCGTTGGTGTCTGTCCGTCCTCAAGAGGCCATCCTTGGACCACGGTATTGGACAACTTTCATCTAGTGAAAGTTCCGTTTTGTGAAAATTCCATCTTTCCATTTTTAACTTTCAGTTTATCAGAATGTTCTTTATGCAGCCATCTGATTTCTTCTTGGATTTCTTATTTTTCTTTTTTAGTGGCACTGTGGTGGACTGGGATTTTATAATCACATTTTTCAGAGTTTTCCAAGCTTCATGAGCTGTTTTCCAGACTCCTTCCTTGTTTTCCATGGAATCCTTCCCAGTCTCTCTTTTAAGTTTGTTGAATTCAGCTCTTTTAAAGGCTAAGACACTAAAGGTAGTCTTTGACTTACAGCAGTTCATTTAGTGACCATTTGAAGTTACAACAACATTGAAAGAAGTGACCTATGATCATTTTTCACACTACAGCATCCCCATGATCATGTGATTTACATTTGGATGCTTGATAGCTGGTTCATATTTATGATGGTTGCAATGTCCCAGGGTCATGTGGTCTTGCTTTTGCGATCTTTTGACAAGCAAAGTCAATGGGAAATTCACCTAACAACCATATTACTAATTTAACAACTTCAGTGATTCACTTAACAAACATGGCAAGAAAAGTTGTCAAATGGGGCAAAACTCACTTAACAAATTTCTCACTTAACATAAATTTTGGGCTTAATTGTGATCATAAGTCAAATGAATTGAATTATATTGAATGAGGAATGGGAGCAATTACAAAATTCCTTGACATGCCTTTGGATACTTTTTTGGTCAAATTTTAAGAGAGAGTTGGTGGGGGGAAGGATTTTGTTTTTGTCCCAAATTATTTCCATATTGATCCTTAACA